ATCTAATCCAAATAATATTGATGAAGTTCTAGAAGGTATTAGTTGTATGGTCAACAATGAAGATAATTGATGCGTATTTGCTACACTAGCAAGTGCACTAGCCGCTCAAGTAATAGAGTGATGAACAGAGTATCGTTTCCCACGAGGACTTATGCAGCAGCTACAAGTAATATATTAGCCTTCTATTATCTGATAAACCGAATTGTATATCTAACCTAAAACTGAATTCCAAACTAGCAAACTATCTCTAACACATTGGATCAAACACCTTGCATGCAAGTTGAGAAGACAAGCTAGGTATGCACATAATTGGTTCAACAATTAGTTCTCTAGGTTACTCAAGTATATTAGGATTCAGCCTTGGTTTAGTGAAACCCCAAGGCAATGAACAACCTCTCTCAAGCGCATGTTCACTCTATGCATGAGTGATGATTCTTATATCTCTATCAAGAATTTAATCCCCATGCATGCATTAAGATCTAGACATTCTAGGGCATCATTTCAGATGGAATGAACACCAACCGCATTGTTCAAGTTATCCCTAACCTTGCACTCAATACGGTTCTTGATTGGCAGATCCGAATTTCTAGAGTCTTTCTCAAGCACTCTAGAACTTCCAAGAATCAAGAACAGTTCGGCCAAACAGAATTAAGRTTGCCTAAATTCTTTCTCAAGCAATTCAGACATTACAAAAATCAAGATCAATTCAGCTAGCAGTTCTAACAATTAAATTTCTAATCAAGAAACATCAAGATTGCATATAATCGGTTCGAATGAACCTATAAAGCTAATTACAGATCTGAAATTACAGAAATCATGATTCAATTACAGCAAGAAAGAAAAATTAATGGAGAAATTACACATAATCCCTAGGTGAATTCGATTACCAAATGTTCAGAAATCAAGGAAGAAGGACACCTAGATTGATCTCCTCCAATGGCTTCTTCTCCCAAATTCGAATTCAGCTTCTCTTCCTCTCTTGAAGCTTCTTGAATCTTCTCCTTTCTTCTCTCTTGTTYGCCTCTCTCTCTCTTCTCCCTCCAAGAATTCGAACCCAAGGAGTTTTTAAATCTCAAGGAGTTGAACCCCTTTTCCCTCCAAGATTTCTCCTTATATAGTTTTCCCCTCAGCCCTCTCTTGAATCTTCTAGAAGTTGCCGCCCTTAGCCTCTCTTGAATCCTCTAGAAGCTGCCGCCCTTAGCCTCTCTTGAATCTTCTTTGGGCTACTCTTGAGCTGCAAATGGGCCTCCTCCTTGCTGGGCCGAATAGGCTCCCTTGGAGGCTGCGGTTAGTCTCTCTCTTTGGGCTCTCCCAAAGAGTGCAGCATGGGCTTCATGGGCCGAATGGCCCTCCTTTGATCTCTCAGCTGGGCTTTTGTTTCAGCTGGGCTGAATTACCTCCAATTTGGCTCCTTTTTCTTGGTTTTGTGCTTTCTTTTCTCTAAGCTGGTCTCTTTGGATAAATTCCTGAAATTAAGCTGAATTAGGGTAAAACTTTACACAAATCAGCACAAAAACCATGCATAAACACCAGAATTTTATGTGTAATTTGCACACACATCAATAATGAAGTCCTTTAAAGGGATGTCTCTGAGGAAGAAATTAATGATGCTTTGTTTCAAATGGCTCCTAGGAAAGCTCTCAGACCTGATAGATTCCCAAATCTCATTTTTTCAAAGGATTTGGGAGATTGTAAAAGAAGATGTGGTGAGGGAAGTAAGTGCTTTCTTCAGAGAGAGCTCCCTCAATAGGGACATAAATTCCACTTATATATCTAATCCCAAAGGTTAAGAATCCAGAAACCCCTACTCATTTCAGACTGATTAGTCTGTGTAATACTGTTTATAAATTAATAGCAAAAATTTTGGCCAACAGATTGAAGCCTCTTCTTGATCGGTTAATCTCCAAGAATCAAAGTGCTTTTATTCCAGGAAGATCTATCTCAGATAATATTCTTATTACACATGAAATAATGCACTTCATGTGTCACACAAAAGCCAAGTCAAGCTTTATGGTAGTCAAGCTAGATATGAGTAAAGCCTATGACAGGCTGGAATGGGTTTTCCTAAAAAACTATGGAGAAGATGGGTTTTGGTTGAAAATGGATTGATTAGGTCATGTCTTGTGTGTTTTCTGTCACATATCAAATTCTAGTCAATGACTTCCCAACCAGGAGGATCTATCCCAAGAGGGGATTATGGTAGGGAGATCCTCTCTCCTCCTACCTTTTTCCTCCTTTGTTTTGATGTTTTCCCTACTATTCTAAATCATAAAGTTGAACAGAATGAGTTTTTTGGTATTAAAATTTGCAAACAAGCACCAATAATATCTCACCTAATTTTTGCAGATGACAACTTTATTTTCACTAAAGCTGACTTTAGAGAGGCCGGTGCACTTCGGGAAGCCATCTCTGTCTATGAAAGAACATCAGGTCAACAGGAGAATTATGGCAAATCTGAAGTCTTTTTTAGCCATAACCTACACCCTAAACTAAAAAAATTGGTATCTTCTTGTCTGCACATTAAAAGAGTAGAGAAACCTTCTTTCTAGGTACTCATCCCTTAATTGGAAGAAAGAAAACTTAGACTTTCAAATACCTAGCTGAAAAGGTGGAGAGCAAAGCAAATGGATGTAGAAGAGCTCTACTATCTCAAACTGGAAAAGAATATTGATCAAATTAGTCCTCACTACTTTGTCGGCTTACTGCATGTCATGCTTCCTTCTCCCTAAGAAAGCTTGTGAGTCAATTACAAAATCTCAGAAAAGTTTCTGGTGGGGAGACAGTGTGGAAAAGAAAAAATTAAGATGGATCCAATGGAATCAGATTTGCAAAAATAAATTAAATGGGGGGTTGGGCTTTAGAGATCAACATTCTTCCAATTTAGCTTTGTTAGCTAAGCTAGCTTGGAAACTTTGATCAGATACATCTAGCCTTTGGGCTAGGACTCTTAAATCTAAGTATTACCCAAACACCCATTTTTTACATGTTGAATTAAAAGGTAGCCCATCTTGGGGTTGGAGAAGTGTGCTAGAAGGGAGAAAGGTTCTGAAAGAAGGTATTCTTTGGAGGGTTAGTAATGGTGCTAAGTGTGGGATGATCCATGGGTTCAGACCATTGAGGGTTTCATACCAATGGGAGCTGATCTAATTGATCATGAGCATAGCTGTTAGAACAATAGAAAGATTAACTCCATTTTCCCCCTTTTATAGCTCAAAAATCCTTGAGATTGACCTCCCTCTAAATCAATGGGATGACAAAATCATTTGGATAGGAAGAAAAAATGGAAAGTTTATTGTTCGGTCAACTTACTTCTTTTCCAAACAGCTCACGAAGATACAAAAAAATAACTATTAAAGTGCTAAAGAGGAGAAAGGAAACTGGAAACTAATTTGGAATCTCCGATTAGAACCCAAGATTAAGCATTCATTTGGAGATGCTATAAAGGAGGGGTAGCCATAAAGAAGTCCTTATTTAGAAGTGGTATTATAAGCTCAGTGAATTGCGATAGATGTAACGGTGCCCCTGAATCTCTACTTCATGCACTCCTCTTATGTACTAAACCTAGATGCATTTGGTTGGGCTCGGGTTTGGGCGTTAACCCTGAAAATCCAAACACCTTTCGATCCTTTGAGGACTGGTTTTCAAACATCACTCTGGTGCTAGTTAGGAAAAATTTGGACCTGATAGCAAATATTTGTATAGTTCTTTAGGAAATTTGGAAGGATAGGAATCCTTTCTGTTCTGAAAATTCTGATCAAAGTCCTTTTATTGTTTTGGATCATATATGTAGGTAAATAGTGGAGAGATCTCTTCTCTTGCAACAGAGATTGGTAGACTCTTCAAAGGATGAGAATGTCAGCTCTCAAATTGTTTGGAGGCCTCCTGAGGCTGGTTTTTGGAAGATTAATGTTGATGCAGGTTTTGGGTTGCAGAACAAAGCGACTTTTGGCTTCATTTTGAGAAATTTTAAAGGTTTTGTGTGGGGAGCTAGCTTTGGTCAATCCTCATCTCACTCTCCACTGATTATAGAAGCAAAAGCCTTATTAGAAGCAATGCTTTTTGTAGTAGATTACAACCGAAGAACTAGTTGATGATCACCTTGAAATTATGTTTTTTTTTTTTTGCAAAGAGATCAAGACCATGGCAACAGGGAGATCCTTTAGCTTCAATTTCTGTTCAAGAGAAGCAAATAGGGTGAAATCCCAATGGACATTACTGAAGCCTTTGTTAAAGACTTTATCGGATGTAGCTAGTTGCTTAGGTTTTCTTTTTTTTTTTTGTTTTTCTTGTTTCTATGTTTCTGTTGCGTTTTTGTTGTTTTGCCTTTGGTCTTCTTAATGGAATTACTTTGGAAAAATTCCACTTATTTTGAACTTTGGGGGTAGTGTCAAGTTAGTACCCGAACTTTCAAACATGTCACTATAGTACCTAAACTTTTAAAAAGTGTCAAGTTGGTCCTTGCCATTAATCGACCGTCAGTTATCTATGGAAAATGTCAAAACTACCCTTCAAAAGAAGACATTGTTCATTGTATTCTACCTTGAGACTGAACCGGTTGAGGTGTTTGAGATTCTAGACTAATGAAGTCATTGTCTTCTACCTTAGATCTGAAACACATTTTTGTCTAGTTATTTCTTTGCTTTTAGTTATTGTTTCCTTCTATCATATTTCATGTTTTTTTTTTCTCTTTTTCTTTGAAGATAACCGATTCAGTGCTAAGGTAGAAAACAATGAAAAGTATATTCTTTTGAAGGGTAGTTTTAACATTTTCAGTAGATAACTAACGGTTGACTAACGGTAGGGATCAACTTGACACTTTTTGAAAGTTTAGGTACTGCAGTGACACATTTGAAAATTCGAATACTAACTTGACACTACCCCCAAAGTTCAGTGTACTAAAGTTGAAGTTTTCCAATTACTTTTCTAGCAAAAAAAAAAAAGGGGGGAGAATTTTCTCAAAAAAAAAATGGAGAATATTTATAGAAAGAGCGTGCATTGGTTCAAACCGTAATCCATCCATTGTTCCTTCTCCGTTGGTGGTAGACAAAATCAACGTCAATCTCCATGGCCTCGATTCACCATGAAAATAGCAGCAGCAGGAAAGAAAACCTAACACACAGCAATACCAACAAGTTTACTTTTTTTGTGCAATCCGCCTCCTCCAATTTATTTTCTCTATTTACCCTTAACAATAAAAACAAGAGCTACAGTGCTACGACGATGACGACGACAACAGCTTCAGCTTCACGCTGTGACGACTCATCACGTCCATTCTCGACTTCCTCTGCCATATGCGTGCCATTCCTGTTTGCAAATTCTCTACCGCCACCATTACCTTCTCCTTCTATCGCAGCTGTCTGCTCCTCCTCACCGCATTCGAACGAGAGCAATTCCTTCTCTTCGGCTTCGGCAATGAAGGGCATGTCTTCTGGTGCTTCGAGGTTCCCTTCCACTGTCAGGATTGCCGGTCTCAGTTCAACTCCAAAGCGCGGTGGTCCTGCCTTTGTAGGCCAGGTCTTCAGCATGTGTGACCTTTCTGGCACCGGTCTCATGGCAGTCTCTACTCGAATTGAAATTCCTTTCCTTTCCCAAAGGTCGGCCTGCTTTTATCAATCCACCGATATCCTGTATCGTAATTTGCTTTGCCTTGCACCTCAATTTTTACCGTATAACAAGTAATTGATTAATGCTTTTCTATTGCTGATTTATTAGTTCGTAGTTTCTTCATTCCATGTTGTATCTCCAGAAGGAGGAGATGAATGAAAGAAGATGAGAGGAAGCCCCAAAAAGAAGGGGGAAATATAGATTAAAAATATCAACAAATAATATAGATTATTTTAATCTTATCATCTACTGTCTTTGCTACATATCCTACAATAGTCCTGTCCTTGTTGCAGAGCAATGCTCTTTCCTCCCTTATCATTGACAACTTCTGCCCCCTTTCATCTTCGGTTTTAAATTTTAATTGACTCTCACTTCTGTTTCTTGTCTAAATTTCTGTTTGTCTGCTAATTGTTTGTTCTGTCAATATTCATCCTCATTTTATCCAAGCATGAGAACATGGGTTCGAGTCTGAGAATGGGTACTGCGTGAAAAAAAAAGATGCCAGAGGTTAGGTCCATATCCAGTCCACCCCTCCCATTATTCTAAGGCCCCAGATTGCTAGGAAACATTTTGTAATGGGCTTTTAATTTATCCAACATAGTGACTTTTTCCATTAAATTAAAGTCTTTGAGTAAGCCAGCAGCTATAGAGCTTAAGTACTTCCCCTCAGCCTCCCTACATTAAATCAGAAAACCTATGAATAACATTTTGAGTAGAACAACTTGGGAGAAAAATTAACACACTGTTCTAGTGTAGCTCGTTGCATTCAGCCTTTCTGTTTTGGATTTTGAATTCCTTAGATACTGCTCGAAGTAGAAACTTATAAAATGATATTGAGTAAAACAACTTACAGTCAACTATTGCAGTTTACCTATATTGGAAAAGAATTTAAGAAAAGGAGAATACTGGATTTAACCTATTTTGGAAAAGAATAAACATTATACCTTTTTTCAAGGAAGTATTAGATGGCATCAGACAACCCAAAATCAACAAATAACCATGGCATAAAAGCTTTAAAAAGACTTCCTTCCTCTAAGATAACTTCTGTAGTTCTGTCATTACCAGATTAGATTTATTAACTAATGGCCCAGATTTGAAGTCTTCAAATGCCAAGGAAGGTTGAAGGTAATTAAACTCCTAATTACTTAATTCAAACTTGCTAGACACTTCTAAAAATAGTAGAATTTCTTATTCCTTTGACTAAACTTTAAACTAAAAGACTCTAAACAATACATGTGTGACATAGAAATAGTCCTCTCATTTGAAACATTTGTTCACATGAAAATCATTTGTATAGCTGGTTCTAATGGAAGAAAAAGATATTTATCATGCAGCTGTGCAGAAAGGTCATCATTTGTATAGCATGTTCTAATGGAAGAAAAAGATATTTCTCATGCAGCTGTCAGAAAGGCCATGAGACTGTCAAGTGTTAAGTACCTTTTATTTCTTGTAAGTGTGCCTTAGATGTCTTGAATTACTTCATGCCTCTTTTTGACATGCATCAGATTCTGACTAGAGATGACATTAGAGGAATCTCAGTTGATAAGGTTGTCAAATTGATGGTAGGCACTTGCTTTTAAGATCTGGAGAGAGACCATTTTATACAGTTCCCTTCTTCCTAATGGCTGTTAAGCCTAATTTCAATGGTTACTCACTGTGGAACCCATGAACCTCTCTAGTTGGTGGAAATTTTGGGTACAGGGAGATAACCTTATCAAGGCGTATTATGGCTCAATCATCATGGAGACTCAATTCATTTAGAAATCCCTTTCCTTCTCTATGGCACCGTACTTTTTTTCTTTATTGATCAATATGGGTCATACTTATTTTCTTCTTAGGCATTGAGAAAGTGGAGGTTCAGGGTTATTCTCAGGTTGTAATTGGGTGGATTATTGATGATTCTGCTGTTCTTAGTCTTATATTGTCCCATTAGAGAGGCCACAGCCTTGATGCCCAGATAGAACAGCTCATTCAATTTGATCTCAGGCTTGGTCAATTTACTAGCTAATAGTTTGAGTAGGAGTGAAGTTGGACTGTGGGAGAGCTAAGTTGTACTGGGATTATTCTGTATTAGCTTTTTGTTCCTTACAGTGAGTTGTGTTATTTTGTTTCTTTTTTTCCCTTTCTTCTTTGGGTAGGGGTCCTCATATATAGGGTCTCCTTTTCTGTTGCCTGCTTGTTTTGGCTGTTACTAAGCTTTCCTAATAAAGTTTTTGTTGGTCCACAATCTTGAAAGACTTTGAAGGTTGAAATACAATCATCTCAGGTGCCAATAGGAGGATACTCTTTAACTCTTCTATTGATGTGTAGAAAATTACACATGTAAATGGTTACTCATGGTCTCTCCTCGTTAATCATGTCAAGAGTTATAGTTTCTTTGGATATTCCCTCTTTCTGTGATGTATTTTATATAAAAAGGGAACTTTTCCAGTACAGATATAATACAAGGCCGTTACCCAATGTTGGTCCCAGTTATCTGGTATTGGGATGGGTGAACTAGATATGGGCCTATACAAAGACAATTCAATATTATAATTGGAAGGACTCAATAGAAAGTAAGCTAAAGATGGTAGAACCTTAATATGACACTTGTTGGACCTATATTGCCATTTGCAGTTGCATGGTAACCCCCTAAGGCTATGAAAGTAAGAATCAGTCATTGCGTATTAGCATGGCAGGAATTCAGGGGTGTGTCTATGGCTGATCTCATAAGAGGATGGAACATCATTGCTGGTTTCTCAAATTTCTTGTCACCAAGGATTGTTATCTGGACTCCCCCAATTGCAGGTGGATAATATTGATGGTTGTAGCTTGGGTAACCCAGGAGAGTGTGGAATTGGTAAGAGATGGTATCATGGTAGTGAAAAATTAATTTGCAGTTTGTAGATGATGTCTTGGTTTTTTTTGTGATAGTGACTATAGAGGTGGGGTGGAAAATCTGAAGTTGGTGGTGGAGCTTTTTGAGAGATTGTCCAAGTTGGTCTAAGAGTTTAATAGATGGAATGAACATAGAAGAAGATGACTTTAGGGCTATGGCAAAGTCTTTAGGTTGTGAGAGGAGAGAGTGGCCTATGAAATACTTAGGATTACCCTTAGCCCTTAGGTGACAACCCTAGATCTGCTAGATTTTGGACCCCAGTGGTGGAGAGTGTGGAGAATAGGTTAGCTGGGTGGAAGAGGAGCTATATTTCGCAGGTGGGTGGGGGGAGGGGACTAACTCATAGTTTTCAAGGCACCAAGGTGAGGCTAGGCGACAGGGGGGGTGCCTTGTCGCCTAGGCAATGGATTTTTTTTTTTTAAGTAAAAACCACATATCCTAGGGTAGTTCCCTAGGTTCCATAACCATCTTTCCTTAATAACTACCCATAATTTTCATAAGAAAATTATAAACTGAAGTTTAGAAAATCAACATATTTATGAGAAGAAAAAGAAGAAAGAAAAGAAAATTCAAAAAATATAGGAGCTGAACCCCTATTTTTGTTATAGGAAAAGAAGAAAAGAAGAGGTGGAAGAAGATGTGTTGATTAGACAAAATTTTAAGTTCTTTCCTTACTTATTGGTTCTGATTTTGATGTCTTTGAGGGTATATATACAAAACTGCTTGGTGACTGGGCAAGGTGAGCCTCCAAGGGCGCCTTGACAACTATGGACTAACTCTTATTAAGTCCACCCTCACCAACCTCCTAGTGTACTACATGTCAGTATTTAGGATGCAGGATGCCCCAAGAGGTAGTGAGGAAATTGAAAAAAAAAATAATGAGAGATTTTCTTTGGGAGCCGAGGGAAAGAAAGAAAGATCATCTAGTAAGATGGGAGAAGGTGGTGAAATTAAAGGTAAGATCGGAGGTGGTGGTAAGATGGTTAAAGGAAGACAAGACTGGAATGTGGAACTATAGCAATGAAAGGAAAAAAATCAAATGGCTAAGGACATTGAGATAGTAGAGCCTGTGAAAGACTTAGAAGGAGTACAAGAAAAAGAAATTGTCAGAGATGGCGAAGGAGGGATGAGTACTTCTGGACTTAGAGGGGGAAGATTGCAAGATACTAAAGGAGTTACTGTTCACAGAAAAGAGGCAGATATGGTTGGGGAAAAAGAGGATTTAGAAGGAAATCAAATCCAGAATAGACCTGAAAGTGTGGAGGTGGAGAGGGAACTAGCTAAGGGGAAGGAAGTAATAGAAGGGGTTGGGAAGATTATAAAAAGTGGAGAAACACAGACTACAAGGGACCCGGTGATGGAACTGGCTGACAAGATGGGATTGAAGGTGGAAAAGCTAAGGAAGTGAGACCTAAAAATAAAGAAAATAAAGCAAAGGGAGGTAAGAGGAGAAGAAAGCTAAATGAAGTTGAAAGAGTCATTAATGATGTGGAAGGAGATAAGGAATTCAGCGCTAGAGGAAGAAGGAAAGGAGGCCTTTAGGATAGGTGAGGGTTGGTTGCAGTCTTGTAGTGATCATGGAGATTATTAGTTGGAATATAAGGGGGTTAGGGAGTGCCACTAAAAGAAGAGCAATTAAAGAGGTGTTAAGGAAGGAGAGTTCAGATTTTGTCTTGATCCAAGAATCCAAAATTCAGGAAGTAGATAGGAAATGGATTAGAAGTCTTTGGGCAGAGAGGAATATCAGTTGGAGTTCTGCTCCATCTTGGGGTGCTTCAGGGGGCATAATTACAATTTGGAAAGAAGAGCTAGTTCAATGCTTGGAAGAGCTGGTGGGCAACTTTTTAGTGTCTATTAAATTAAGGAACCTACGGGATGGTTTTGAATGGGTCCTCATGAGTGTCTATGGGCCAAACTCCTATAGAGAAAGGAACAAGATGTGGGAGGAGTTGGGGGACTTTGGGAAGGGCCTTGGTGTTTAGGAGGAGACTTCAGTGTTGTCAGATATGTGGATGAATCAAATGGAGGTAGACAATGGATTACTTCAAGCACGAGAAAATTCAATACCTTTATTGAAGCCTTTGAGTTGAAAGAGATTCCATTGGGGCAATCTTGCTATACCTGGTCAAACCTTCAAGCCAATCCCATTTGTTCTAAGCTTGATAGATTTCTAGTGTCTCTTGATTGGGAAGAGCATTGGTTAGGTTTACTATGCAATGCAATTCTGCTGTTGACCATCAAAGAAAGGGGTGCAAACTGGGTACCTGACTTGAAGAATTTACACATGAAATTTTAACAATTTCCCAACTTGAGACCTCCCAAGTTGCACCCCTAATGATTAAAAGAGCTCAATATGAATTCATGTCAAACTGGTCTAACAGCTGCAATACTGTAAGGAAGACCTTATGACATCTAAATGTGCCTGTTTAGGCTAGATATGGGTTTGGACCTTGTGGCAGGAATTTGTGGGTACTGTTGCTTTGTTCATTAAAATGCACAGTTGATTTGAAGCTGAAACTATCCTTTACAATGCAATTTCTGGAGACTAAGAATGACCCTGTGACAATCAATGGCCTCCCCTTGAGGGGCTAGAATGAAGATTGGACAGGGCAGCAAACTTTAGGCACTGCTGCTTGGTTTTGCATTAGAAATCCTACTTGATCTGAAACTGGAATTGTCCTTTCTTGATTTTTGGGGACGTGCTATCCCCCGTTCTGTGTAGCCCCTTCTGGTTCTATCAAAAAAAAAAAAGGAACTGTCCTTTCTCTGTCAGAAAGTTATTTAAAGTCACAAGTACAACAACCCTTTGATTCATTGTCAGGCTTTCCATGTACATCTTTTGATCTAGAATCAAGTCTAGGCTTTGGAACAAATGAATTAGACATTTCAATGGAACCTCGTCTTAAGCAATTAAGATTCATAGTATGCTGATTTTAAACTCAAACTAATTGGGTAAAGGTCATACTGGTTTGCTAGGATTCTTGTTCAATTACAGCAATCTAGAAACAGATGGATTAGATTTTTGTTCAATTCCTCTCTCTGTTTCTCTTCACCTCCTTCTCTTCTATCTGTAGAACACCAGAATGGATGAAGAAAATCTTTGCCATGTTTACCAAGAGTGGGAAGAATGGTCCTGTATTTCGCTTTTTCCTGGATTTAGGTGATGCAGGTTGGTTTCTCTTCCTCTAATACCTAGACATTTATGACCTTTTCCATAAAATCGAATATAATTGACTTTTTTTACTGATATAACACAAGTACACAACTACTTTGGTCTCACAACTTTCACCGTCTCCATTATACTAAGACATTGATCCTTGTCCTATTTTTGGTGCATTACATTTATGTGATTATTTTCATTGACCCATTCTGTATTCTAATATGTTATTTTACCTTAGTTGCATATGTTAAACGGCTGAACATTCCAACTGGTGTGGTTGGTGCTTGTCGTCTTGATTTAGCATATGAACATTTCAAGGTATGGCTCTGCTGGAGTTATTCTTACCTGTTTGCTGGAATTTATCTATTCATCTGGTTTTATGAATTAACCTTGAACTTGATGTTTGAATAGATAATTCATTTATGGGTAAATTACAGATTACTATCCACTACTTTGGGAGTAGTGGAAATTACCCCCCTGAACTTTCAGATTCTGACAATGACCTCCCTCTCCGTTAAGTTGGGTGATAGAAGTTAATTTACCAAAATATCCACTTGAGAAAATTCTATAAAATGGAAATTGCAATTAATAAACCAAAGAAACTTCTATAAAAACCTGGAATTGCAACAAACACAACATGCAATTAATATCAACTAAACCGGTAACAAATGGAAATTGAAAAAAAAATCAAAACTGAACCCTGACGCTCTATTTTAGAAACTCATTGGAAAAGGGTAATTTTGGGATTTAGAAATGTTTAAACAGTCACAGGAGAATCTTTTTCAAAGTATACAGACAGAATGCTAATGGAGAGGGGTCTTTTTTAAATCTGAGAGTTCAGGGGAGAATTGTCATTATCCCCAAAGTATAGTGTAGTAATCTGTAATTTACCCTTTATTTATTGTAGGTTGTAGCTATGACTTTTAGTTTAAACAGTTTAGCCTATTTAGGACTTGAACATGCAAGGCAACTGAAAGATTCTAGTGATTTCTTTAATTATTTTGCAGCGGAAAAATAAAAATATTTAGAATCTTGATAAACCAAGATCACATCCATGGTTGTGTACAAAACCCTAGTTTATAAAATTATTTAAACTGTCAAGAAATTTGCTTTGGTTCTCTCTTGTAGCCTCGCAAATATTTGGTCTCCAAGATAGTCCACGCAAAGTAGTAGCAGATCAAAGCTCTAGTTCCCCTAGTAGAAAGGAAGAGGGAGAAAGAGTTGGGCAACTTGAGGAATTGTGCTAACGATCCTATCAATTAGGTAGAAAGAAAGTCTCTCATAAAACCCTAGGGCCGCCCCATGCACTCCTTATTTAGAGGTAGTCTCCTATTGCAATTAGGAGAGATTATCTCGTAAGTTTCCCATAATTGCAATTAGGTCCCCCCACTAAGACCCCTCTTAGTGATTACACCCTTCTCTCATACTTTTTCTACATTTTGCCCCTTAATGTGTGTGACCTCTTAGGTTCAATACTATTAGGTAGTGGCAAATGATGCCAAACTCCTTTAGCATCCCAAATGGAACTCCTTCCATTTGAATTGAACTATATCTCTTTTAGTTCTCCCTTGGATGTGAATAATTGATCTGAAGGGATGGGAGATCCATCATATGGATGGCCGAACCCTACAGGAAGGTTGGGCGAAATTTCAAAAATTTCTTTGCCCCCATCCGGGAATCCTATTCCCAATTTAGAAAACTGCATTTTCAAGGTTCGTTCTTGTAACCAAACCGGACCAAATCTGAAACCAAGATTAGGGAGGGATATACTTGATACGGAATTCACGCAAAAAGCTCTTCCCAACGTAGGTGTTCACGCTCAAAGAGTGTACCAAATCCTCCCTTCACTGAAGATGACACAACTTAGGATGAGGCAGGATCAGCAGGTAGTTCTTCACCAAGAACCTCTGATTCTTTAGCAAGAATCGAATGAGGTAAGTGAGCACAACTTTAGAATTGTTTCTTCTAGCAAGAAACAATATCAAGATCCAATCTTGATCATTTCCAAGAAATGGAGATCGAACAGGGTAGGGCGGCAAGAGCAGGGAGAAAAAGAACTGAAGGCAGAAATAGTCAAACTGAGTTGTCTTCTCTGTGTTGTGTGTCTTTCAGGTCTGTCTTGCTCTCTATTTATAGCCTTAAAGAGACAACCTCCTAATCTGATTAAGAGTTTTCTGATCCAAATCTTTATTTGAATCTAGATTCTTTAAGTGATAAGGATTTGGATCTGAACTCTTTAAGTGATAAGGATAATCCCTTATTTTATTTGCAGATAAAGATCAACTATTCCTAATCAAATTAGGAGTTCCTTGATCCAAATCTTTATTTGGATCTAGACTCTTTAAGTGGATAAGAGTTAACCTCTTATCCTTATCTGCTGATCCATACCCAGATTTGCCCCTATTTAATTAATCCAATTAACCCAGTTCGAAATGGGCTTTAGGTCCATTAAGCTTTCAAGCTCACTTCCTTTTAATGCTAACTAGCT